TTTTATTATATATAAAATTATATGTTATATTTATTATATATAAGTTTTGTGAGTGAAGAGTACCTAAATTTAGATACGCGAACGGCTCAAAACTATTAAAATTATCATTTAATATTAATTTTAAGCCCTGTGATTTTTAACGTGTATAAGTATAACATGGAATAAAATGTCAAAAGAAAAAGAATTAAAAAGAGTGTCACTTTTCAATCATCAGACATCTGCAGTTTTAGAAAAACGTGTGATGAATGTATCGAATATGTTGGAATGATACCTCATGGAATGAACTATAATCTAAGCTGACGTGCACTGAAATCTAATTTCTCTTTGCGAGTATCGTAATAGAGTAGCACGAAAATCGAATCGTCGTTCTATTTTGAAAATAGTACAAAATGCATTAGATCTGCAAAACGAGGCCCGCGCTTGAAATGTTGTCTCCGCCACCAGCAGTTTGCGCTGCTTCAGTGCAAACCAATACTGGTGCCACACATACTTGAATAGCAACATTCTTGCTTTCTATCTTCAATGTTTCGTCCCAGCAGGACACTGGTTTGTTAATATCTAACGCTATCCGGGTGCCATCAACAATAGATGTCGAGAAACTATCGTCTAAAATCAATGCGGCTTTGTTAATGTCGACCTAGAATTTCATAAGTTCATATATACACGTTGACACTGTAATTTCATAGTTAAAGAAGTACAATCATATATACTTACGTGGCTTGTCGCACACACGTGTCTGTGAGCCGTTAGTGATGCTTTGGCCGCTGCGGCCATTGTGTTTTTCCACATAGAGCCTTTTACAGTAAATATAGCTTGGTAGGCTAACGTGTGTACGTGAATCCTGGTGAGTTCCCGAGAATTTTCAATAGTTTTGCTTCTCGTGTGTATCAATTTGAATAATGTTCGCATCTGATCTAAAACTGTCGCTATACGTGGCGTTGAATTCGCCACCAATGAAATATTCCCATAATACATTGTATTGTACAAATTGGCTATTTCTTGCTCGTTCATTCCCAGACTATCGGCGAATGGAATAATTGTGTCGCACAACTCGAAAAGTAGTTTGTCTTCCACAAACGAGGCCATTTCGAAATGAATCTTAGTCGATGCGGATCGATCCGTCATCTGCCCTTTCACTCCGTGTAAAAGTTTCTGTCTATCGCCTGCGTTTCAAACGAATTTGATTTTTTTAATGTGTACAAGTATAACTTATTTCTAGGCAAAATTTATACTAAAAATAAAGTTTCAATTACCATCTGGAAATGGATAATTGTCCATCATTTGTAGACCACTGATAACAAGTAAATTAGGCTCGTCTTTTAATAATAGCTTATCAAATGCATCAAGAGAACTAATTCTAGGGTTATTGGCATCATTGTGAACTATGTACCTAAAAATTTAGTTATAATTACAATCTTATGTTATTACAATCTGATGTCCCTGTACAATGCCTTCTGAAGTTTTTTAAATATACCTATTAGCTCTAGCACTGGAATATGGACCCCAAATATCTCCGTGTTTGTACTCAATCACCAAATGAATGTCGTCCCTCTTTACTTCACCACCTACGATGTTAATAACCTGTGGTATCATTTGATGTAAAGACCTAGTTAGCTTTGCAGCGAGCGTCACATCGCAGCCCTCTCTTGCAAACCTCAAGGCCATGATTGCTGCGTTACCACCGATGGTAGAATATGAAGATGAAAATGACCGAGCTTTGGCAACAAGTTCGTCGAACAGTGTTCTGTTTGGCATGTATCTCCTAACGCAGAAAAATTGAAACGTTAAACAAAAGGAACGTGTTCTCAGTGAGAAATGAAAAAATTCACTTGCAGGTGACAATAAGCAAAAGTAAGACTTACTCAGCAGCAGCTCCATGACGAAAATAATAAGCAAAACTTTTTAAAAGTTCCAACTCCGTGTTGATTTCGTCGTAGTGTTGCGGCTGTCCGATCTCATCGGTGTAGCTGAGCAAATCCTTGGCGTTCACGTACACGTCGGTGCAGACGCCATAACCTATCGCGACTTTCGGTCGTGATGTCATCACGTGTTTATTCTCAAGTTTCTCCAGGCCATGGATCAACGCTTGCAAACGTTTCTGTAGGATGTTCTCGGAGTTTCTGTAATAAATTGCGACTAGGACTATCAGCACAGTAAACGCCGTGCCGAATTTTAGTCCCCGGTTGTACCCCATTTCGTGTTTCAGCAACAACGACCTAAGTGCTGTACTGGGCTTTAAAAGTCTAGTCAATATAGAGTTGGCGCGTACTTTTCATTAGATCGCGACAAATAAGTTTTAATAGGATGCGACGTTGTGTCATTTTAAGACAATTATTTATTTTTTAAAGGAAAAAAATTCAATGTATTCAATATATTCAATGTATTTATTACATCGTACGAAAAATAATTTTTTTAAACTTAACGGCGGTCATGTATACTTAACTTTAGTTGGTTGGATATAAGTATTAATAAAAATACACAGATTTATACGATTATGTTTGTATTCAAACAGAAATTAATATTAATTTCGACAAGAATATCTGTATCTTTTAAGTACTTGTAAAAAACGAAAAGATCTTCGGTATATTGTCGAGTTCGATTATTATAGTATTAAAATAATATAAAACATATAATTAAAATAATAATAAAACATTAAAAATTTAATGACAGTTCTAATAAATAATATATATTTCTCGCACGCGACTGTGCTTTTGAAACATCTCGCCGGGAAAGTATTAAAAAACTAATAAAATAGGATTATTAGGTATTAAATAAAGAGATAGAATTATTTTTATATATATGTATATAATACATAAAAAATATATAAAATATATACATAAAATAAATACTATTTTAAATAGTATTTATTTCTAAAAAAATCAACACAATAATGAATGATTTAAAGCAATCATTAATTATAATTATTTATCTTTTCAAGAAACTAATAAAATAGGATTGTTAAAATTGTTAGGATCTACAAAGAGATAGAAAACTATCTTTATATATATAAATATATATATATATATATATAATAGTATTTATTAAAAAAAAAAAAACACACAATGATGAATGACTTAAAGCAATTGAATTAATCTCATTTAACATGGAATTTCTCAGAATACGTGACACGTGTAAATCTCAAAAATTTCAGATCTCAATTTAGGAATTCAATTTTCTATATTTGTACAACAAAATTATAACTTGTGATATAATAAAAACGATATATAAAAAAAAGAAGAAGAACTTACGATACGATTAGTAAAAATACAGAGAAAAATATGATAAAATATTGCAGCTGCGTCCTTTCGAAACTTTCATTGCTGGTAACAGTTCTCACTTACTTAGGCTACGTGTGGCATCTCTTTCTTCAAAAGAGCAGTGCTGTTCAAGACTGTTTAAGACTTTTTGTAAGATACAAAAATATTCAAAATTTATATAAGTATACACCAATCACATACATGATTATAAACATAATTCATTCGAAGGGGTGAGTCAGGGGAAGTCATCAGATTGAATCATAGTCATAGATTGTATCATAGATTGAAAATGGAAGCTTTTAACGTCGACTTCTCTTTACTAACGATATACGTAGGTTCCAATTTCGATAGTTTCACGTTGAAAAGATTCTAAGTCCGCGATATCTTTTCAAAGACTTTTCATCTCACGTTGCTTATTCTTTGTTCTTCGTATGAAGACGCATGTGTTTCTTCAGGTTGTCGAGTCTGTTGCACCGCCGATCACAGAAATCGCATTGATAAGGCATTAAATTGCTATGCACCACCACGTGGCCGTTCAAGTGACTAATTTGTTTGAACCGCTTGCCACAGATGGTACAAACGTACGGTCTTTCATTCATATGGGCCGATGCAATGTGCGTCTGCAGATTCGTTTTCCTCACGAACGTGGCTTTGCACACGTCGCATTCGAACGGTCTCACGTTCGCATGAATGGCCAAGTGAGACTTAAGTACGTTCTTGTGCTTGAAATTCTTCTCACACAAATGACACTGGAACGGCCGCTCGTCGTTGTGCACCTTTTTGTGAACGGACAGGTGAGCAAGCTGCTTGAACATTTTCGCACAGATCTCACACTGATAGGTGCGTCCGTCCTCGTGGGCGGCGCTCACGTGCCGACGTAACGTGTCCGCCAGAGTGTACCTCTTCCCGCAAATTTTACAGCGGAATGGACGCTCGTTCGTGTGGGTCATCAGATGTCCGTTCAGGTTCCTCTTCTCGAGGAATCGCGCGCCACACACGTCGCACTGGTACGGTTTCTCACCGTTGTGAACGTACATGTGTTTCTTCAGAGAATTCGAGAGGCTGAATCTCTTTTTACAAACCGTGCACTCGAATTTCCGTTCCCCCGTGTGCACCAGCATGTGAGATTTCACGTGTCCCGCTTGTTTGAACCTCTTCCCGCAGACGAAACACGGGAACTGACGTTCGTGAGAATGGGTGAGTATGTGCCTCTCCAGAACGCTTTTGGTGGTGAACACCTTTTTACAATTGTCGCACTCGAACAGACGGAAGGTCTCTTTAGCCTTTGAAATGTAGTCTTCTTTGTGCGATTGAGCGTGGACTTTCAGTGAACCCAGCGACTCAAACTTCACCCCACAGACCGCACAGTGGAAAGAACGATAATCTTTGTGCGTCAGTGAATGCTGGCTGAGATGGCCTAGCTGTTTGAAGCTCTTGTTGCAAATCAAACAGACGTAGGGCCTTTCATTCGTGTGAGATCGCATGTGTCTTTTCAATACGCTGGGAAAGTTGAACTTTTGATTGCAGTATGAACATTCTAGAGTTGGATCTCCATTTAGTTTCACTGACCGACTGTCGGAAGTGATCTTCTTTTTCTCCTTCAGAACACTCAAACTCCTTTCCACCTTTGTACAGTTATTTGCTTCGCTGGATTGTGTCTCGTCAACGTTCAACTCTGTGAAACCTCTCAATTTAGGTGTTTTCGCGTCTAATATCACGCCATCTTGCAAGTTTTTGCTTCTCCTACTTCTACTCAAGTTGGACAATTTACTTTGTTTGTGTGATTGCCTCATGTGTTTTTCGTACAAGTTTAGAACGTGGAACGTTTTGTTGCATAGTTTACACTCAAACTTCTTTCCCTTTAAATGCGTTCTCATGTGATTTTTTAAGTGACCAGGTTTCATGTACTGTTTCTTGCAGACTTTACACTTCAAGTCAACTTGGTTCTCTAGGTTCGACACTTTGTCGTCTATTCCCGATTCATCCTCAAATGACAAGTCTTCTGTGTGCATGTTCAAGGGTTCACTCTTAACATTCACGAAATTGAAATCAGGAGTGTCCCTTTGAAGTTCATCCTTGGTTTCACTATGAGAGTCTTCATCCTCATAGTCATTGAACTGACGAATTAGAGTATCAATTAGTGTCGTATACAAAAATAATTATATTATTAGTATTGTACTTACAGTATCCGTATCTCTGACGTTCGCAAAAGTCGAGTCTTCTATAAATTGTTGCCTATCTTCCTTCTTAACTTCATCTTGATTGTTGGATAGCAAACCAATCCATTCTTCTTCGGCCCATACATTATCTCTTGTCGAATTTATCACGTTAGTCCGTTTTTGGAACTCCTTGTGTACATTTCTTCCAAATAATATATCGTATGGAATCTTTCCATTTTCACAACGGAACGTTGAATTTTGAAAGATTTGTATGTGTTTCAGAGCTTCGTGCCATGTCTTTGTCGGATTCTCCTTCACCCAACATTCAAGCAAGCTTTTAAAATCTCTGCTCTGCCCATTCCCCTCGGTAATTTCCCCGTGAAGTATCATAAAGTCTTTCCATAGAAGGCGCAACTCTTGCACAACTTCCTTGGCGAATTTACGTCCGTTAGTGCTTTGTAATACCTGCGGCGCTCCAATAATAGCCAGTATGTCCAATAGTTTTACAGCTGCTTCATTCGCCGTGTTTCCGTGTAAACCTTTCAATACAACAAATCTAGATATTTGATCCTCATAAACGAGAAAGTACTTGTAATTGCAAGTCAATTGTACTGGCATGTCTATCACATCAATTTGTCCTCTGTGATACAGCTTTTTGTTCACGGTGTTACAATGTGAATTCATGTTTTCAATTTTGTGAGCGATTTGTAATCCTTTCAGGAAAATTTACGAATCATGAAATTTTTTATAGCGTTATATTTAAAAGAAAAAGAACATAATTAAGAATAATGTGAGTAAGCAATTTATCACAATTTGTAAGTACATTTCGCTTTCTTTGGAGGTAAGAAGTTAAGTATCTCTGGGTAAATATTTACTTCATGCTTCAGAGATTTAATACTGATTCCTCTTAAGGACAAGTCAAATGTTTTCCCTAGCGCACTTTTTACTTTCAGTGTGTCCATTGCTTATTTTCTCAACTCATTGGTATCCACTAAAAAAATAAACAATGCGATACTTTGGAAACAACATAACTTATACATAGGTCATATTTAGAAAAAGCAAAATAGTTATAATTTTTAAATTAAATGTGAAACATACCGTACGACAGTTCATTAGCATTTATGTACGAAGAATACATTCTTTTTCCGCACACACGAGCAAAATTAATATTCAAGCAGAATTTACATTTTTTTGAGTGTAAAATAATACAGTATTTTAACCTATGCGACTCTCGTGAGATTCAATTTATCTCGAAATTAAAAGCCTCTGTATCCATTTTTTGTCGGAAGCCGTGGAAATCGTTTCATTTTCAAGTGACAACGATGGAAAACACACGTTTCGGATCCATTCATTTAACAATTAACGTTCGTTGCACGATTGTGAACTCTTATTTGTCATTTTCATAGCGAGTTCTCATCAGCTCGTTAAAGTAGAACTCGACAATATCGGTGGCAGTGATGTTTATTTGTCCACGTGTCGATAAACTTAAAGGCTGATTTTCAGCCGAACTCTTTCCGCGCGAAATGCAACTGATCTGTCAAAATATTTACATACATTTAAATCAAATCAAACATCTAAACGGAGAGATTAAAAATTTTACGAAACTCGTAGAAAATTTTTTACTCGATCGATAATTGCGTATCAATAAACATGTGGACATATAATGGACGTTAAAAACGTAAAAAATTATTATTGACGAAATAAGGAATTGAAGTTACAAGTTCGTCCTTCGTTACGTAAATATAATATTATTATTCGTTTTGTATGGAGCGACAGTTTGATGATAATGCGATGTGACATTTGTCCATCTTCGTATTATTTTGTCGATGACTCTTTTTGAAGTCGTGTCACGAAGTGCGACTGTCTGATCATTCGCGATTGTGCAAAGAAGTCCAAGATGGCCAGCGAGGTAAACGAAATTGGTGTCCAAGCGGCTGAGAATCTAACGGAGAACAATGAGGCGATCACTGGAAGAATACCGTCGACGTCCGAGGGTATGGTCCTCGCTTATGGAAGCCTGATAATTATGGCCATTTTGCCGATCTTCTTCGGCAGTTACCGAGCTGTTAAACACCATAAGGAGCAGCAGGTTAGCCACGCGTTTGACATATGTTTTGCACGCGTATATCGAGCGAAATTCTTCGAATTTCCCAACGATTGATATCGTAACTTATCACTAACTCGCGAAATCTGAGTGATCTTTGTCGCGTGAAATTCATCTTATCACGGTTGAGTGATATTCAAGGAGTTCACAGGTTGATAATTGTAGAGTTTACAATTAATGGTTGAAAGGAGAGTTGAGAATCATAGTGAAGTATGTCAATTTCTTGCTTTTGCAGTAACATAATTAAACTTTAGTTTTCCAAGATCTTCATTCTTGTTATTGTAATCTTGAATTTGTTAGTTAACATTTATATCTAACAGTTTGAAGGTTTCATTGATGAATCTGTTTGATTGTGTTGCAGCAACAGTGTAAAAAGAGCGGAGAACAACCGGACACAATGTCGCGCAAGGAGGCAGCAATATTTCCATTCATTTCTAGTATTACATTAGTTGGATTGTACGTATTATATAAGGTAAGAAGTGTTAAAATGACTCTTACATGAAACGTTTGTTCAGATTCAAGGCTATATTAATGTTTTTCAGATATTTGCCAAGGAGTTTGTTAATCAAATTTTAGCCGCGTACTTCTTTTTCCTTGGCATTTTAGCGTTGTGTCATCTTACTAGGTATGAATAGCTTCAGACTACATGCATTTAAAGATATATTGATTATTGTTAAAACTTTGTCGTACTACTATGATTGCAGCCCATTAATCTCATCGCTGGTACCTGCTGCGATTCCGAAAACTCAGTATCATATATCATTTACTAAAGGGGAAGGTGACAAAGTAGAACATATTATTAATTATAAGTTCAATCTTCATGATATTGTTTGTCTAATATGCTGTTCGCTTGTCGGAACTTGGTATCTTGTCAAAAAGGTAATAGCATTAAGCAAAATTCTCTTTAAAAGAATTTTTCCTAAAGAGTAGCGTTAAGTAAAACATTTGTTTCCATTCTACAGCACTGGATTGCCAATAATTTATTTGGCATCGCATTCGCAATTAATGGAGTTGAATTGCTACATGTGAACAACGTTCCAACAGGGTGTATTTTGCTTTGTGGACTGTTGTTTTATGATGCATTTTGGGTATTCGGTACGGACGTAATGGTAACGGTTGCGAGATCTTTTGAAGTACCAATTAAGTTAGTGTTTCCCCAAGATATATTGGAGAAAGGACTTACAGCCAGCAATTTTGCTATGCTGGGTTTAGGTGACATTGTCTTGCCGGGTATTTTCATTGCCCTTTTATTGCGGTTCGACAATAGTTTAAGCAGAAAAACAAACGTATACTTCTACTCGACGTTCTTCGCTTATTTCATGGGGTTACTAGCGACGATGCTTATCATGCATTTGTTCAATCACGCACAACCAGCTTTGTTGTATCTAGTGCCCGCTTGTTTGGGTACTCCTCTACTTTTAGCGTTGGCTAAAGGAGATTTGAAGGCATTATTTTCGTACGTATCAACAAATTATGCAATGTTTGATCAACGTTTCGTTCCACTTATGCATACTTGTTCCAAATCTTTTTTCTTTCTTTTTGTTTTGAAACGATGAATTGCGAGTCGTTAATGTTTTTTTCTTTTTCAGTTACGAGGATCATCCAGTTAATGCGACACAAACGGAACAATCTGCACAAACGCAAGTAGAAACGAAAAAGGACACATAATATTCGTACTCATTAAGGTGATTAATATAAGAAAATTTCAGCATTACGCTGTTATCGGTTTAAATTCATCGTATGTAAGAAAGAAAAATAATAATTTGTCTTATGCTCAAGCTGTACAATCATAAAATTTAAAAGTATCAACAATATGCAATGTTTGATCAACGTTTCGTTAACATTCGTACATTTGAATTTTATTGAACTTATAATTCGTAATTTATTTTGTACTTCTGTCATTTTCCATTAATATACGTATGTAGAATATTAATATTAATAATTTATAGACCAGTTATCTGCAAATGGAGACAAAAAAGAGTAGTATTTTTTTATAGATAACTTGCTTTTCGATATATAAAATTTTATAGGTGAGAGTTCACGCATATTACAAGTGTGAATTAGTCTTTATTTGATCGTAAAAAATATAATTTTTTTTTTAAATTAAAGAAATAATTAGAATAGAAAATTAGATTAGATTTTTCTATTTCTGTGTAAAATACAACCTTTATTCTATTGTGAATGTCAACTTGTACTCCAATAGATTTATAGTCTATAACACATGTTATATTTCATTAGAGATAATCGTTGTAAATTATAATACAGTTTTTTACATACGTAATTCGAAAAAATTATCACAAAAATTCAAAGAACTCTCTGATTTGTTGTAATTTTTCTTATCACAAATTTCTAATCTTGGTTCGTACGTACAATTTTTCTACGACATAATCGTGTTTTAATTGAAAAAATTGTTCGAAAGAATAGATTTTGTAGAATATATATAGGTAAAAAAATTTATGTAAACATTTTTTTGAAAATGTAATAAAACTAAATTTTTTTCATTTATGTATATATTTTCTTTTTTTTTTAACGATTACCTACAAATTTGTTCAAAAAGTAATGGTTATTGAGCTGTTTCAAGCTACTGTGTTTCAAAACATTTATTCTTTGAATTGAAAATGATATTACAAACAATATGAATAAAAATAGTTCACATAGCTCTATGCTTTATCAACATCTTCCATCGCCAAATTCTTCGCTGTGATAGGTTCCAATTCTTTTATACCTTCCTTCGATACCTTTTGTACTTTGAAATTTGGAAGATTAACTATCAGTCTCTTATGTATTTCTCTGACACATCTTTTCATTAATATGTATGCCTCTTCTTCCGTCGAATCTGTAACGTGCATGTAATGCATATTTTAATAAAAAAAATTGTACTAATTATATCATGTGCAAATAAAAATCCATGTGAGTTTGATCTCATTAGTATTTCTTACCATGTTTATGATATCTGTCCAGTATCGAAAGGGAGAAAAAGCCTCCGTAACCATGTGCAGCATAGGGCACTTTGACGCATGATGCCAAATAATCAATGAAATACAACTCTGGCCCAGTATTGTCATCGTAACCGGCCATTAATAAATTGACAAAATATGGTGTTCTACTTCTGAGGTAATCCGCCAAGTTTCTCCTAGTAAACAAAGCAGCTGCTCTCGGGGACAATTCATAACCGTTTCTCATTTTGTAGAGTTGGATGTTTTTTCCTATGTATTCTGAAAATTGCGTGGTATCTCCGGATTCTCCAGACACTGCCATAATAAGCTTATCAGACATCTTGTGAATTTTTTGTTCATCTGAAACAACAGAATCAGTACAATGAACATAAAATGAATTGCATTTATTGTGTACATGGCTTGAAATGAAACGTATGCATTATTATATCAAATTACAAATTAACTCTGGTATCTCAATATTTATAATAGAAAAAGAAGCAGTAAAATAAACAATTTATCTGGGACTGTTCTTTAGGCTGTAATGAATTTAATTTAATTTCTTACCGTTTTTCATAACCATAATGGATTGAGCTGTAGTCATATCGGCCGCGACTAAAGCGAAATCCTTAAACTGTATCCCAATTAAACATTCCATTTTGAGAAATGATTCTCTTTAGTATCTCAACTGTAATTGCAACAATACTGAAAACTGCCTGTCACGAACAGCGAGGTTATAATCGTGACTGTTAAATCATTGATATATTCTTGTTACTTTCTTATTTTAACCGCGTTCAATAGGTGGCGGCACCATACTTCTAATCGTGGCGGCGCGAGTATTTAAAAAAACGAGTTTAACAGGGGCGACGCTGATTTAAAATAAAGAAAAAAGAAAATAAGATTGCAGAAAATATTTTGTATTCTCAGTTGTTAATAATCAATAAAAGCAAACGGTCGTTATAAAATCTTGTTAAGCATTTAATAAATAGTTATAGTTTCTTGTTAAATTTCGTAATATGTTAATTTAAAAAAAGATGGATATATATATGTACACATATGTGACAAGAAGTGCAAAAATATGCGACAAAATTAACCTACGTGCTGCTATCTAACGAATTAGCTGAAACCTTTTATTTTTGTTGCCTTTGATCATTGATAAATGGCAGCACACAGCTTATTCCTATGGCGATACCGTAGTTCTTTTTTACCGATTGAACCAGCGGCGATGTCGGCGAAAAGAACAGAAAGCAGTAAAAAGCAAAGAAGAAAAAAAAATAAAATAGATTCACGGATAGATTCATTAGAAAATCCTATTCGCTCAAGACTGTTGATCGTACATAAGAATTAAATAAAATTGTATTCTGCTGTAATTACATTAATTATCGTAATATTATCGTAATTATTAATTAAAAAGAGCAGATCTCCACATTTTGACCACATATCTCATTCGTGGATACATATTTTGGCGCTGTTCTAAAATGGAATGAATAAGAATGTAGCGACATCTATTCAATCTTATAAAAAGTTCAGTCTTATAGAAAGTTA